AAACTAGGCTATATGTTATTAAATTGTACATAGGCTATATATCAGATTATTTTATTTACAAGTTTCATGTTTGAGTCCCGTTTTATCCCGTTTATCCCGTTTTTTCCCCCGAAAGTAATTTTCAGAAACGTATTTTTTTTTTCAAAGCAAGCCTACTACAGTATATATGAAAATGCATATTTTTCAATTAAAGAGAATTTATAGAATAAATATGGACTGCTTTGGGTGCTTGAAACTTCATTGGTCATTTTGTGTTTTAAGAATGATATTCAAGGTTAAGAATACGCTGGAAGTTACTTAAATGTAAAATGTTTTATCTAGGTGTATACATTAGAGAAATACGACTTTCCTTATTGATCACGTCTTCCCTCAGGTAAAATGCATGTTTTCTTACGTGGCTGGATGTTGGAATCACCTTGGAATCTGATTTGCTGAAGTCGAAAAGCGGTCGTTAAAAAACCCAACACCGTTAGCGCGAGTCCCGCTCGCTGTGAAGCGGGAGCGACCAGCCGGCAGAGGATTCCGATTGGTCTTAAAGCCTCCCTGGAACAGCTATGTTCACAAATCAAACACTTGTCAAAAACGAATGATTAATTCTCAATTTAGAGTTTGTAATTCGTATGGTCTAGGTGTTCATACTGTATATGCCTTAAATACGGGACAAACTGCGTTCCGTATAGCTTTCATACGGAACGCTTCTTTGGTGCCTTAAATACGGGACGATTCCGTATTATACGGAACGGTTGGCAAGTACAAGTACAATTTTAGCTGTATTATTTGTGTCCCGTTCAAAAATTGCTCTTGAGAAATTTTATGTTTATTGTCCCCCCCAACTGTTAGACGAAATTTACGCCCCTGGCCTGCTGAGCCTAACGTTACTTGCTATTGAATCCCATTAGAAAGACATCGTCCATTTTTATTTTTTTATGTCTTTTTTAGAGACAACAATCACATCTCACAGAGATCGCACTTGTCATAATGTTTGGGAATATCGTGCATAATTTAAAAACAATCACATGTTTATATCAGATAAATTATAATTATATCAGCTAAAAAAATAAAACATTTTAGAAGAGAGCGCAACATCGCGGTTAGCCGTGTCGTCAGTAAATCGTTTCCCATCGTGCTTTTGGTCAGCGCAGCTGGGAACAGCAACTGCACAGCTGACTCGCTGTCACGCGAGATTTTTGGCATAGGCTACGTCAGCGTGATATCAGAGCAATGCGGACTGCTCTCCGACACATTTCTAAACGGCATGCATCTTGTGGTGATCACCAGTGATCTGTCCAGTGGTTCTGCGCAGATTTAGCTCAACTCAAACGAGCTATTATTGTCCCAATGTGCATTGAGCCAGGGTCCCTACCAGTGCCCGGATTCGTGTGCTGATTCACGGGCTCGAGAGCTAGGGAGCTGATTGATATGCAGTCCAAGTCTGAGAATGCAAGTCTGCAGCCAAGCCCTTCTTGAGAGTGAAGAACTGCAGATGATGCGGTTATTTTAACAGCAGTAGGGCAGAAACAAGGTGAACAGCAAAATAGATTGATGCTTTGGTTAAAACACTGCAGAAAATGAGAATGTAGTATTTATTTATTTTATTTTATTTTTTATCTGTAATACATACAGGTCCGGTTCCAGAATTACATCACTGAGGGTGCTTCGCAATTATTGATGGTGCTCTAGCCTTAATGCACATCTATTTTGACATGATGATACTTTTGTCCCGTACATTGTTATGATTATTACTTTGTCAATCATTGCAATTTTAAGTAGATTAGTACTTAAAGGGTTAGTTCACCCAAAAATGAAAATTAGGCTGTTTTACTCCGTTATATTAAAAATTATCTTTGATCTTTCAAGCTGTTTAATGCCACTCAGCGGGTGTTGCATGCATCAGTCCAAAATAAGTTAAATAAAAAGCGCCCATCCATTCAAAAAAAAGCGTCTCACATGGCTCCGGGGTGTGAACAAGGTCTCCTGTAGCGAATTGATGTGTTTTTGTAAGAAAAATATCCATATTCAAAACGTAATAATCACGCTTGCGCTCACTGTTGTAAACGGAAGCAGCACCGGGTGGATGACGTATGAGGTCGGCTTTGCACAATGGGTTACTTAACCCATTAAAAGTGGGTGAGTAATATAAATTAATTATATATACAGTGCTGCTTAAAAGTTTGTGAACCCTTACAATTTTCTATATTTCTGCATAAATATGACACAAAACATCATCAGATTTTTGCACAAGTCCTGAAAGTAGACAAAGAGAACCCAATCAAAGAAATTAGACAAAAATATATATTTTTTATTTATTGATTGAGAAAAATTGTCCGTCATTAAATGTGACCCTGGAGCACAAGACCAGTCTTCAGTCGCTGGGGTATATTTTTAGCAATAGCCAAAAAAAAAACATTGTATGGATCAAAATTATCGATTTTTCTTTTATGCCAAAATCATTAGGATATTAAGTAAAGATCATGTTCCATGAAGATATTTTGTAAATTTCCTACTGTATATATGTTAAAACTTAATTTTTGATTAGTAACATGCATTGCTAAGGACTTCATTTGGACAACTTTAAAGGTGATTTTCTAAATATTTCGATTTTTTTGCACCCTCAGATTCCAGATATTCAAATAGTTGTATCTCGGCCAAATATTGTCCTATCCCAACAAACCATACATCAATTGAAAGCTTATTTATTCATTAATAATATTAATTTATTCGAAAAAAGTAATTGCGTTAGCAGCGCAAAAGGTCATGGGTTCGATTCCCAGGGAACACATACTGGTAAAAAAAAAATGTATAGCCTGAATGCACTGTAAGTCGCTTTGGATAAAAGTGTCTGCTAAATGCATTAATATAATGTAAATTTATTCAGCTTTCATATGATGTATGAATCTCAGTTTCAAAAAATTGACCCTTATGACTGGTTTTGTGGTCCAGGGTCACAAATATGTAAATCTTTGCTTTCAATATCTGGTGTGACCCCATTTTGCAGCAATAACTGCAGCTAAAGTTTCTTGTAACAGCTGATCAGTCCTGCATAACATCTTGTAGGAGTTTTAGCACATTCCTCAGTACAAAACCACTTCAACTCTGTGATGTTGATGGGTTTACTCCTATGAACTGCTTGCTTCAGCTTCTTCCACAACATTTCAATTGGATTAAGGTCTGGACTTTGACTTGGCCATTCCAAAACATTAACTTTGTTCTTCTTTAACCATTCTTTGGTAAAATAACTGGGGTTGTTGTC